TCATCGCCTATATTGCATCCAGAAACTACTTAATGTTGTAAAAGGGAGGCTCCTTTCCCTTGCAATAAGCAGTGAGTTATACCTATCATTACATAGCATTTGCAATTAAATCAGGGTTAAAAATTAATGGGTTTCCTAGAAAAGAGAGAAACAGGATGAGTATAAAAACATAAGAAGAAAGTCACTAGTTGCATAATAATTAATCTGGATAAAATGTATTATTTAAAACCATTCAATCACTGCCTTATCTTTTCTAATTCTTGCACGGTGCTCGTAAGTATAATCATCTGACTGCATCTCTGAAATAGCATTAGGATTTGGGAAGCATCTTAATAAACACTAACTGAAGGCATTCTGAGGAAAACATCATTAATCATGTCATTTGATAAGAGGTACTGTCAGTGTTACATTTAGACATTTATACCCATACTAAATTCCTGTAAACAATCCTTGCGTGCATTAGGGAGTAGGAAAATGTAGGCTTGTTACGATAAACATATATATTTACACATAAACATATATATTTACATATAAATATATTTATACATACATATATGTCTTAAAATGGAACCTACTCAGATACATTTGGTCTCTTAGTTGTAGACTCTTTCCAGTACAGTTCAATTTGCACACTGCTGCTGAATTAAGTACTATTTCCATCTCATCCGTCAACTACTGAAAAATCTACAAGCGCTTCTTTTTTTAAGTAAATAAAATATTTTTAGGTTGGTATTTAAGACATTTAGTTATTGCTGGGTTTACCCTTCATCACTTAAGATTTGTATGAATTTTATTTAATTTTTAATTTTTTTTTTGGTTTTTGAAATAAGGACTTGCTATGTAGTTAAGACTGGCCTTGAGCTCACTATGTAGCCTAGGCTGGCCTTGAACTCAGTAATCTTCCTCCCTCAGCTTCCTGAGTGCTGGGATTACAGGCATGTGCTACCACACCCAGACGATTTATATGAATTTAAAAAAAATCAACCAAAGCATAATACCATAACTGATTATTTAGAACTCTATTGTCTATTTAGTCTCTATTTCTACCTTCTGCTGTGATGGTTGGTTGGATTCACAAGTTGCATACCTAATTTCTTCAGCAACAGGATACCCAGTTACATCCTTGGCTTTCTATCCAGAGCAAGCTTTCCCAGGAATGAAATTTCCTAATTTTAGCATCTTTTGCAATCTAGCTAGGCTGAGAACCTCTCAAACCAAGAAGTGCTGTCTTCTTTTTACTGCTTTTGTAAGAGACTCCTGTGACTTCCCTCACCTCTCTGGCATCTGGAGACACAGTGAGAAGATAGCTGCTCATTAATCAGGAAGGGATCCTCACTAGATACAGAATCTGCCAGCACCTTTACCTTGGACTTATCTGCTAGAGTTGTCAGAAATAAATTTCTGTTGTTTCTGGTTGTTAGCATTCCAAAAGTAATTTATTACAGAAGTCAGAATGGACTAAGAAAATCCTCCTTCTTCAAGGACCACAGATCCAGCCTCCAGCCTTGCAGCAAGACTTCATCAGTCTGAGCCCATGACAACAGCTCAGCCAGCTTCTGAGCTACCTTCAATAGTCTCTGCACCACTCTTGACAGCTCTACCCTTGGTGTCAATCTCTCTTTCTTTTAAAAGAAGCATATATTTGCATCTGAACGTCTCTATCAACCCATAACTGCCTGTGGAATCCCAGAAGTCATGTCTCCATCTTATCTTTTATTAGTTCTGGGTTTTATACACTTCTTAAGAAGGACTCCTCAACTGTAAGAGTATAAAAGTTACTTCACCTTTTCTGCCAGTGCTTTACAAATCTGATTTTTTTTTTTTTGGTACCAGGGATCAAACTCGGGACCTTGCACTTGCAAGGCAGGGGCCAGAACCACTGAGCTAAATCCCTGGCCCTACAAATCTGACTTTTGTAAGCATTCTTTCTGGAATTTGTTATTATTTACAGGTGAGATAAATTAACTGGTTTCCCAACCAACATCCAATTATTCAGTATCATTAATTGATCAGTGCATTATTTATCTGTGATACAGCAGTTTTTAGTCATATATATGCATATTTGATTTAATGCCATTTTTTATAAAATTCTCTTTCTTCCTATGTGTATGATCCGGAATATATATATATATATATATATATACACACACACACACACATATTTATAGTATATATGTGCATGTATACACCAAGGAAGCAGAAGGTTAAAAATTATCAAGATGCTAGATATTGATAAGTGACAATTAGACATTAAGAAGCCCATTGTAAGTATCACTATGATCTGGATACAGCTCCAATTATGAAGATTTCAAGGAAAAAAATGACAAGAGGCTCATTCCCCACTTCAGAGAATCTGAGTAGACTGCAGGAATGGTTGCCAAGGCAGGATATCAGGAAAGCATCTCCACAGGGACGCTGTGATAGTGATTCTCCTATAGTCTTGATTCAGTTATGTGCCTCTTTCCAGTAACAGTCAGTCCCTCCATTAAATAGGGTACATATGTACTAAATTCCAGTAAGTATGCATAGGTCTGTTTCAGGAATCTAAACTCTGCAATATTATGTGTCCAATCCTGCATCAACATCGCATTTCTACTACTGTAGCTTTACATTTTAATATACTGTAATAAATTTTTTTTCAAAAAGATCTTGACTTTTTATTTTTTCCAGATGAACTTTAAGAAAAAGCTTGTCAAGTTCTCTTTTTAAAAACAAATTCTGGGTCGGGGATTTAGCTCAGTGGTTCCGCTGCCTGCCTTGCAAGCACAAGGTCCCTAGTTGAGTTCGATCCCCCCCAAAAAAAAATTCATAGAGAAAAACAAATCCTCTTAGGATTTCAATTGGGTTTATATCAACTAGATGATTTGAGAAAGCCATCAGGTTTGTAATATTTTTTCTACCCACGTTCATAATATATTTATTCAAGTATTTTCTATGTCATTTAATAAATGTTTTATGTAAGTTCTACAGTTTTGGGGTTTAGTACTAGTTATAATTTTTATTGCTTTAAGATATGTAAATAATTATGTTTTAAAATTACATTTTGCTGCTATTTATGAAAGATAATTTTATCTTAGTCACTTGACCATCACTTTTCTTAGAATTCTGATAATTTTGGTTGCTGGACTTTTTCTTGACAGTCATGACCTCTGCACATAGGCTTTTCTCTGTGCTACAGGCTCTTTCTCCTCTCTCTTTCTCTGCTTCATTTCATTGATGTAAAAATTTGATTTTAATAGAAATGTTTTCAATAGCTTATCACTGGGTATGTCTTCAAAGGTCTCAAGTAGATTTTATCAGTTCAGGTAAGCTTTGTTTTATTCCTATTTTACTGAGCTTTATCTTTGCCCCCAATATTATCAAAATGATTATAGTAAAGCTACTTTACTATATATGGACTATGTAAATTCTTTCGTAAAAACTTACCAAGACTTTTTATGAGTGATTATACTTTCAATATCTTCATGTATGCTTGCAAATGTAAATTTTAAATTTCTATATATTGCAATTTAAAACCTATATCTTTTATTATGAGTTTTGTCAAAATTTCTAATGATTATAATTATTGTACATATTCCATTTTTCCTTAAATTCTGCTGGGTTAATTTTGATGTTTTTATGGGCATATAGATTCATGACGGTAAACCAGTTATGGTGGGAACATTCCTATAATTGCAGTTCCTTAGGAGACTAAAGCAGGGGGATTGAGAGTTTGAGGCCATCCTGGGCAACATAGTGAGAACCCTATCTCAAAAAAAAAAGTTCACGATATTTCTAACATATTGGTTAGTTTAATCAGCAAAACACATTCACTTTTGTTTTGATTGAAAATATCTTTCCTACTTTCTCCTTGTTACCATATATAGTACTTGGCATATTTTTCTCCATTCTTTTATATCTCAATTTTTGTTTTATAGGTATGTCTGACCAACAGCATGTTTTGATTTTTTTTTTTTTTTTTTTTTACTGGGGATCAAACTCGGGTCCTTGCGCTTGCGAAGCAGGTGCCGGCACCACTGAGCTAAATCCCCGGCAACAGCATGTTTTGACTTTTTTTTACTACTCACTATAATTTGTCTAAGAGATTGACTTAACCTATTTAGTTGTGATAGTACATATTTAATCTTATGTCATAATATTTATAACTTCATGAAAATTATTTTTTCTGCCAGTTTCACTTTTTTTTTGCAGTACTGGGTATTGAACTCAGGACCCTGCACTTGCAAGGCAGGCATGGTGTCACTGAGCTAAATCCCTGGGCCTGCCAGGTTCACTTCTTACAATCATCATTTTTATTTCATGTACTCTTGGTTGTATATATTTTTAATCTCCATTCACTTTAGGTAATCCTTTCCAAAAGCGTTCGTTAAGGTAAATTTTGTAGTCTTTAAAAAAATTATTTTTAATGCCTTAGTATTGCCTTCAAATTTGAATGATAGTTTGATTGAATGATACCCCAAAAAAGCATTTTTTTTTTTTTGAGATAGGGTCTTGCTATGTAGTTCAGGTTGGCAGCAATCCTCCTGCCCCAGCCTCCTGAGTTCTGGGGTTACAGGCTTTTGCCACTACACTTGGCAAAATATTCCTTTAGAACTGCAAATAAATTGTTCCATTTGCTTATCATCTAGTAGTTCAAATGGCAAGTTTGACACCAATACAAATATTTCTCATTTTTGTTTTACCCTTTAGAAACTCTTTTATCTATTTCCTTCAAGACCGGAAAATTTCACATACTACGACTGGTGCATTTTCCTTCCACACACATAAAGAGATATTTTATTGGTTTCCTTTACAAGAGTTAATAACATCATTTAAAAATATATCAGGTCATTTGAGACACCAATCAAGACAAGGCATGAAGATGAAAATTAAATGTTTAATTAATCAAAGGCACTACAATGCTACCTAAAATCTACTACAATACTATGGTGATATTAGACAAAGGGAGATTAAGCTACAGTGAAAACATCTAGTGTGAATATTAGACATTTATAGCAGGAAGTTTGCTTTCTAGAAAACTACAGTATACTATTTGGGCTCAGTTCGATAAGTGGCTAGGAAAAGGCAACGATGGCTGGGAGTAAAGCTAAGAAACCAAGATAAGTCTCCAAATAGATGATACTATATTAGTCATCTTCTCAAGAAGTGTTTGCTGCCTCCTCTTAAGATCCCAATGCCTGCATAAGATGAAAGCTGCTTGCTCCTGCCTTTTTCTGAGTTCAGCAACCAGGAGAACTAGTTTTTGGCATTTCCCTGGGATTTTGCTGAAATTTAGTATAGTCCTTGAAGAACCTGTTACATACTGGTGTGCTGCTAATTGCTCTCAAATATCTCCACCCAACATATGGAAAAGTCTCTAGGCTCTAGTTAAAACTGAAGGGCTCACAAAATCATCTGAGGCCAGAATGAGACAACCTAGTCATGTAATCTGGCCAGTTCTCAGTTTTCCTCCAGTTTAAGATAAACATCATTGTACCTGATAACGCGATGTTGAAAGCCACCCTGGAGCAAACCTGGTCTCTGATGAACTTTTCATGAAATAACCAAAGGAAAAATACTGTAGTGGTAAGGTTTATTTTCTTTTACCTTGCTTTATTTTAAAATAGAATAACCTATAAGTTATTCTGTTACAAAGGAACATGGCTGAACAGGTAGGAAACAGATTCTCCATTGTGAGTTCGCCGGATGGCCTCTGCAAGAATCATGGAGACGTCGACCACCTGAATTTTGGAGCAGTTCTTCATCTTATCTTCCTGAGGTATGGTATTGGTGACTACTACTGCTTCAAAGCACGCACTGTCGATGCGGGCAATGGCCGGGCCAGAAAAGATTCCATGTGTCAAGATCGCATAAACTCTGGTGGCCCCAGCTGAGGCAAGTTTGTCAGCTGCGTGGCAGATCGTACCACAAGTATCAGCCATGTCATCCACAAGGATGGCCACACGATCCTTCACGTCTCCCACCAGCACCATGCGATCCACTTCATTGGCCTTCTTCCGTTCTTTATGAATCAAGGCAAAGTCCACATTCAAGCGGTCCGCAATTGAAGTGACTCTTTTGGCTCCGCCAGCGTCGGGCGAGACAACAATGCAGTTTTTCCACTCGGAAATATTCTCCTTTATCCATTTCAGGACCGCTGGTTCTGCATACAAATTGTCTACAGGGATATCAAAAAAGCCCTGAATTTGGGAAGCGTGTAGGTCCATGGTGATGATATGATCCGCGCCCGCTATAGACAGCATATTTGCTACGAGCTTAGCAGAGATCGGGGCCCTGCTCTTATCCTTCTTATCCTGCCGGGCGTAAGGGAAGCACGGGATGACTGCGGTAACGCGGCTGGCGGAAGCAATCTTGCAGGCATTAATCATGATCAAAAGCTCCATTAGACCGTCGTTGATTTCGCCACACCCACTCTGAACGATGTAGACATCTTCTCCACGCACACTCTCGCCAATTTCCACACACGTTTCCTGGTTACTGAATTTCTTAGTGACCACCTTACCTAGCTCCAGGCCCAGGCGGTCGGCAATTTTCTGGGATAAATCCTGGTGGGAGCTGCCGCTGAAGATTTTGATATTCGGCATTTTGGTTAACTACCTCAGGTGTTCCTGACCTAGCGACCGCGGCTACCGGTTACTGGCAAAACTGCTACAGAAGTCAGGCCACAGGCTCTAACAGCTTCCGGCTTCCGGTTGTTGGTTGTTACAGGGGCCGTTACAGGTCTTCCCGCGCACGCGCTGTGTTAAAGTGACCTTGGGTCTTTGGAAATTTTTTTCTTGAGAGCCAGTTTTTGGCTTGTGCGCTTCATACTTCTAAATTAAAAAATCAGTTCTTTCTAGTCAACGAAATTGTTACTATTGGTACTGTTATTAATGCTCTTATTCATTTCCTAGGACTTTTAAAACCAATTTGAATACATAAAAACAAAACTTCCATAAAGTCAAAAATACACAAGTTTAAAAGGAAATTTACAGACCGGAGGAAAGTATGTCCAAGTGTTGTTTTAGATAGAGTTCCTTCAATTGAGTGTGTCTGGGGAAGGGGGCCGGGGGGGGGGGGTTGGGTGGAAGATGAACAAGTTGGAAATGGTGTAAGTGGACAATTCACAGTTCTAAAAAGTGGCCAATAAAAGAGTGAAAAAAATACTAGTAATACAGAAAAATGTTAATTTTTTTCACACGAGTGGAAATTACAAGATAGATGATGCCTTCTTATAGAAAGTATAACCATACAGGTTTTGCAAGGGTAATTTTCCACGTGAACTTTGACTCATCATTTCTAATTCTAGGAATTCTTTTCAAAGAAATATTCACAAGGGCCAAAAAAATGTTAATAATAATGTTTGTTGCTATATCAGTTCACTTAACAAATGTTCTATATCACTTGTCTGTAAGGTTATGTATACCCTACTTCTAGGGTATAACATGGTACAAATGTCTAGTAACCACACCTGAATTGTTTATAAAAGTGAAATCTGGAAACTTAGCAATTGTTCATCACTAACTAAATTATCAAATAATTTCCTGTCCATGCAATGCAACCATTGCAGAGATTGATATATGAAATTATATGGAAATATACCCAAGTTATTTTTGAAGGTAAAAAAGCTAGTCACAAAAATATGCATAGTATTTTATTTACATATTTAAATTATGTAATATTCAAAGTATGAAGTATAGATGTCCCTTTTATAATGACTACCTTTGAAAAGGGGTGTAGGTTGTTGGGAGTTCAAAATGAAGGACTGTTACATTTTATTGCTATTAATGTGGTATTATATTTTCATTACTTTTATAATAAAAAAGATGAATAAAATATTTTTGGTATCCATTTGATTGCAAATTTTAAGTATATAGTTTCCACAATGTATTTCAGGTTGGAGTAGTGGGGAAGGAAGTAGGAAGGATCATAGATGCCAAGAATTTCAACAGTAAATGGAATATTTCATTAAAATAATGGTGGCATCAATTGTAGATTATATATTCATATTTTTCTAATTATACGCCTGACATTTGGATATTGGAATTTTTTTGTTTAGCTTCAAACCAAATCATCATCATAATTTTGAAATTACTTAATAATTGTTGAGTATATTTTTCACATAATTTCTGAGCTTCCTTAGTGGGTTGGGTCTGTGGATTATAGGAGTTGGGTAAGGAATTGGGTAGGCAACAGAAATGGGTAAGGTCCAGCAATATCTGTGAAACATTATTTGGCTATAAAAATACTTTTATATGTTGATTGAGCTATTGCTATAAATCCATAAAAACAGCTAAAAATAGTATATCAAAATGACTTCTTGATGATTCAATCACATGTCTCTTGACATCAGTATACTCAGTTTCTTCATGGTTGATAGTGTATGAGAGCTGCCTTCTATCCACAACCCTTCATTTGTGTTCTTTCCTGTCAAAAACCAGCAGAACCATCTATACCATACAATTCATCCTAAACCAGACTTCATACAGTGATTTCTAAATAAAATCCTGTTTCTTAATTTAGAAAAACTAAAAAGTATCTGCAGCTTCAATTAAATTGATTTTTCTTTTAGTGTTCTCAGTGTGTCACACATTTTTCAGTTTTTAATGAAAAACAAACAGATTTAAGTAGATTTAATATAGTTGGTTGCATTTTTCTTGAGGTGTTAAGTAGAAGACATCTTTGTCTTGCTGCTATTGTTGTTCCACACTCTGGCTATTGCTGTACCTCATAGTTCCAGGGATTGTCTAGAATCACAAAAGACTAACGACCTGGGAGACTACCAACTCGTCCACAGACAGGGAACTAAGTCCAGAGAAACAACCTATTGCCTAATGAGAGGCAAGGTATGGATTAGAATGTGGGATTCCTGAATTCCCATGTATGGCTTTTTATGCTACATCACTTTAGAACTTTGTTTCTGAAGGAAAAATTTTAAAAGTCGTGTAGAAATATTTGCATAAAGTTTTTCTCTCGTATCAAGTAACTATAACAAAGAACGAACACAAAACTGAAAATTCTCTTGCTTAAAAAAAGAAATACAAGCAAACAAAAATTACAGTTTCCAGAAATAAAGAAACCATTAGTAGTGTCATGGCATATCATTGTTATTCTGACCTTTCTGTCCTGGTTCTATTGCAAGAAGATTTAGCTCTTGTTTACTTTGTTCTCTGTAGGTTGAGAGACTGTCTTATCATTGACTGTTTCTAACAAAGGTTAAGGTAGGAATAATGCCTATTGAACAACAAATTCTTTCTTTTTAGGACATTTTTTCTCAATAAATTACTCTGAAAAGGAAAATTGTGGTAGAGAGAAAATATCTTATCTTTCTCCTTCCCAAGGCAAGCATATTTAAATGTCATCACTTCATAGCTGTGAGAATTGTTGCAATTTGAAGGTCTTTTGAGTCAATACCCAGAATACACATATATATATCTAACTTTAGTAACAGTTTCTTGCTTTACTGATTATTCTTTTACCATCACAATTCCAACATAAATAATTCAAAGAAAGCCCTAATGCAGCTTGATCAGCTAAGGAGAAAAGAAATTCAGTGAGTTCTTTCAGAAAGTAGAGAAAAATGGTTGTATTTTAAGCAAAATAAATGCTTTCACTAAACATACTTGCAGTTGACAAAATGCTAGATGTTTAGGTGGCAATTATAGTTCTTTGATAAACTGTCAAATCTTGTCACAACACATGTTACAAACAAGGACAGATTTAGATGTCCTTTATGACAGCTTTGTGTAGGTTGCGAATGTTTGGCAGTTAATTTCAAACAAGGAACATATTTTTCTTTCCAGCAGTTATCTGCTTGTTTATTAGGAAGGGTTTCTTTGTGCCTTTAATCTTACTCATTTGACTCACAGTTCCAGATCATTATTGTAACATTACCTTACCTCATTTATTTTGTTCATAATAATCATCCACAAAACTTTGAGAAAACAATTTTCTACAGAGTTCTACATTGGCATAAATGCTTTAAAGTTTGTTTTGTGATTCTTTACAATTGAAGTTGACTACTGTGTGTGTTTACTGAGCTTTTCTCTGGAAGTCTGTCATTTTATATAATAGATGTGTAGATAGTGACTAGGTAAATAAAACTGAGTGAACCAAATAGAATTTGGAGAAAATTTTGCAATTCTGAAACATAACTTTAATTCTGAGTATTATGTTAGAGTCATGAGGGTGTTTTTGAAATGTACTTTGAAACTTTAAAACAACTCTGATGAATTTAAGAATCCTAGTATAAAATAATAATCTGAGAACAACGAGGTTGTTTGAGCTGAATAATATATTATTGTAATCGTGGGCAAAACAATATAAAGAAATTTCATAAGTAGTAAATTACAAATAAAAATATTTCCTAACATATGAAAAGTTTCAAAGTACTTTAAAGCAGTTTTGGATAATGGATAGTTTGCTTCTCATGTAGAATATCAATTTCTTTAAATTATTAAAGAAGTATGTTAATAAAATGTGTCCTGTGCACACATCTTTTAAGGAATTACTTTTTCTTTACAATAAAGACTATTTAATTCTGGTAATAAACACTGAGACTAGTTATCCATTTACATATGTTTCACTTGAGTGCAGTTTATTACAGAAAGCTTTTGCAGTTCTCAAACTTCAGGGTCACTAGATCACCCTGAGGGTTTCTTAAAACATCCTTTCCAGAGTTCCATCCCTGGAGCTTGTGATCAGTAGGCCTGGGGGAGCCTGGATTTTGCTTATTTCTGACAAGATACCTAGTGATATTGATACTGTTCTATTGACCATGATTTTGAGAATCTATTTCATTGAAAAATTGAAACTTATTGGCTAGATGCTTTCCATGACATCATTTTATTGTATCTTTATTATCTGCAGTATCTTTAATATGATTTCCTTTGTCATTATAATATTAGATTTTTGTAATTGTTCTCATTCTTTTTTATCAATTTCACCAGAAATCTATTAACTTTCTCAGTCTTTTCTCAAAAAAATAAAACCTAATGTTTGAAATTGTTGATGTAATCCATTGGCTGTTTGTTTTTCACTTTGTTGACCTCAAAATAATTTTTATTTTCTTTCATCCCTTTTTGTTATTTTGCTGTTCCTTTTCTAACTTTTTAAGATATGTGCTTAGTTTATTATTTATTATGGAAAGCTATATACTTTTCTTCTATGAACTGTTTTTTGTTTCTTTTCTTTTTCTTTCTTTTTTTTTTTTTTGAGTCAAGGTCTCACTAGGTAGTTGAGGCTGGCCTCAAATTTACTGCGATCCTGCTGCCTCAGCCACCCAAGTGCTGGGATTACAGGCATGCACTACTATGCCCAGCCTCTTCTATAAACTGTTTTAAGTGAATTTTGTTTTGTTTTGTTTTGTTTTGTTTTGTTTTGTTTGTACTAGCGAGGGAATCAGGCACAGAATTTGATTGGTGCTTTGCAAACACTCTACCACTGAACTACATCCCAACTTAATTGAGTGTTATGCTTAGTATTTTTGTAATATTTCTGTTATTGTTCAGGTTAAAGTATTTTCCAGTTATGATGGCTATTTCTTCTTTATTTTAGGAGTCACTTAGAAATTTATTTATAAATTTACAAATATAGGGGTATTTTTACTTACCTTGTTGTTGATCTTGTTTTAGTTTCTAATTTAATCACACTGGATTTGGAAAATATGTTCTGTATGATTTCAGTTCTTTGAAATTTTCTGTAAAAGTTTTTTATGTTCCTTATTGGTCACTTTT